TCGCGCGCCTCGCGGCGCGGCTCACGATCGCTTCGAGGGCCGGGGCCTCCGATTCCGGCGCGGCGACGTCGACGCGCTGCCCGCGGCGCCGGGCGGCCGGAGCCGCGGCGGCCGGCGCTACGCGCCGGTGGGCGCGGCGGGCGGCGGCGCCGTCGCGCGGCGGCGCGCCTGCGTGCCCGAGACGTGCCACTGCCTGGAGATCGAGGTCGCGGCGCCGCGGCGCCCGCGCGTCCTGTCCGCGGTCAGCCGCGGAGACGGCGGCGCGACGGCGGCCGCCCGCGCGGCGCTTCCTACCTTCGGGGCGCGCGGCCTCGCGCGCCCCGTCGAGCGCGCGCCGAGAGCGCGCGACCCGTCCGAAGATCGGCCGAAACGACCCCGATGCGACCGACCTCGGGAGCCTCGAGGTCCCGTCGGCGCGTCGCGGCTCACCGGCCGGCGCCCGCGCAGGTCATCGGCGTCGCGCGGTCGCACTCGGCCTCCGCGCCCGACGACATCTTCGCGCTCATCGCCGGCGAGCGGTCCTACGAGCTCGTCGCGCCGCCAGAGCGGACCCTCTAGTAAGGCCGGGATCGTCGGCGGGGGCGCGCGCGCGCGCGCGCTCACGCGCCGCCCGCGGTCACGTCGACGCAGACGGGCCGCGGGCCGCCGAGCGGCGCGCCGGCGCCGCCGAGCTGGATGCTCGTCTTCCGAGCGCCGTCGGAGATGTCGAGGACGAAGTCGCCGGCGCCCGCCGGCGGCCGGCGCGCCGGCGGCGCGGGCCGCGGCGGCGCGTCGGCGAGGAGCACGAGGCGCGCGATGAGCGAGTCCTGCCGCTCGACGACGCCGAGGCTCGCGTCGTACTCGCGCTCGAGCGTCCGCACGCGCGCCTCGAGGATTTCGAGGTCGCGCGCGCGCGCCGCGCCGCCGTCGCCGGCGCGCGCGAGCTCCTCCCGGAGCGCGGCGCAGGCCCGGGCCCGCGCCGCCGCCTCGTCGTCGGCGCCGCGGCGCGCGGCGCGCGCGGCGTCGAGGTCCGCGGCCGCGCGGCCGGCCGCGGCGGCGGCGGCGGCGGCCGCGGCCCGCGACGCGCCGAGCTCCAGGGACGCGCCGTCGAGGGCCGCCCGCGCCGCGGCGAGCTCCTCCCGGACCCGGACGAGCTCGGGCGGCGGC